TATTAGTAGAGATGGGTTTCATCATGTTGGCCAAGCTGGTCTCGAACTCCTGACCTCAAGTGATCTGCCTGCCTTGGCCTCAGCAAACTCATATCTGTAATCCCAGCAATTTGGGAGGCCGAGGGCAGATCACCTTAGGTGAGGAGTTTGAGACCGTCCTGGCCAACATAGTGAAACCCTGTCTCTACTAAAAATACAAAAATTAGCTGGGCGTGGTGGCAGGTGCCTGTAATCCCAGCGACTCGGGAGGCTGAGGTGGGAGAATCGTTTGAACCTGGGAGGTAAAGGTTTACAGTGAGCCAAGATGGTGGGATTACAGGTGTGAGCCACTGCGCCTGGCCTGATTTGTCAATAAATTCTACCAGCTCTGCTGTTAGGACTAGCCGAGTGCAGCTGCTTCTCACCCTGCACCCTCCTGGTCTGAGCACCCGTTGCGGCCCACCTGGGTGGTTCAGACACCTCCCAATGGCTTCTGGGCTTTCCCCAGTTCAGACTATGGTCAGTACAGCAGCCAGTGGGACCCTCTATGGGTCACAGTCCTCCACTCAGAGTGAAAAGCCTCCCGGTATGTTTCCCGCAACTCTCTGGGGACACAGGAGGCTCTCTTTACACCCCAAGCACCTGTGTACCCTGAGCCCTTTGCTCGTCTTTTCTCTCTTTCTGGATCCGTAAGATTTGTGCCCTGTTCTCATTCCAGTTTTTGCTCAAATATTACCTTCTCATTAAGTCCTTTCCTAATAACCTATTTTTTTTTTTTTCTTTTTCGAGACAGGGTCTTGATCTGTTGCCCAGGCTGGAGTGCGATGGTGCAGTGACTGCGCACTGCAGCCTCAGTAGGCTGGGCTCAAGCACGCCTCCCGCCTCACCTCCCCCGTAGCTGGGACTACGGGCATGTGCCACCACACCTGGCTAATTTTGCTGCTGTCTGTTTTCGTTTTGTAGAGACAGGGTTTTACCACATTGCCCAGGCTGGTCTTGGACTCCTGGAGTCAAGCAATTCATCCACCTCGGCCTTCCAAAGTGCCGGGATTATAGCTGTGAGCCACTGAGCCCAGCCCTTAACAACCCATTTATAATTTCAAGCCTCAACTGGGCACAGTGGCTCATAATCCCAGCAATTTGGGAGGCCGAAGGTAGATCACCTGAGGTCAGGAGTTGGAGACCAGCCTGGCCAACATGGTGAAACCCTGTCTCTACTAAAAATACAAAAACTAGCTGTCTCTAAATATACATGCATGGTGGCAGGTGCCTGTAATCCCAGCCACTTGGGAGGCTAAGGTGGGAGAATCGCTTGAACCTGGGAAGTGGTGGTTTCAGTGAGCCAAGATCACGCCACTGCACTTCAGCCTGGGCGACAGAGCAAGACTCCGTCTCAGGGAAAAAAAAAAAAATTCAGGCCAGGTATGGTGGCTCATGCCTGTAGTCCCAGCACTTTGGGAGACTGAGGCGGGCAGATCATGAAATCAAGAGATTGAGACCATCCTGGCTAACACAGTGAAACCCTGTCTCTCCTAAAAATACAAAAATTAGCTGGGCTTGGTGGTGCGCAGCTGTAGTGTACTCAGGAGGCTGAGGCAGGAGAATTGCTTGAACCTGGGAGGCAGAGTTTGCAGTGAGCCAAGATCATGCCATTGCACTCCAGCCTGGATGACAGAGCGAGACTCCCATCTCAAAAAACAAATTAGCTGGGCTTGGTGGTGCGCAGCTGTAGTACTACTCAGGAGGCTGAGGCAGGAGAATTGCTTGAACCTGGGAGGCAGAGTTTGCAGTGAGCCAAGATCACGCCATTGCACTCCAGCCTGGTGACAGAGCGAGACTCCCGTCTCAAAAAACAAAACAAAACAAACAAAAAATTCAAACCTCCCCATGGATCTGGCTCTCCCCTAACCTGCTTCGTTTACCCGCAACTGGCAGTATTATTTCTTTTGTCCATTGATGGTCTTCTCTCCCCAACATCTAAGCTCGCAGTGTCCCTGCTCACCGCCGTATTCCCAGCTCTGAGAACAATGCTGGGCATACAGTAACCGCTCAGTAAACATGTGTCATTGACCAACGGAAAGACTGGAGCTCTCAGGATGTGCATGAATGTACTCCACGCTCCAGCCGTGTGCAGTGACTGGAATGCAGTATCCGCTCCGCGGTGCTCATTGGTTGATGAAGTTAATACATCACTGATGCTCATGAATGTTGATGTCCACACATGGGTCATCACATGTCCAGGAGGCAGCGCTTTCTCTGTTCATGTCCACAGTTGCCGCTCAGATATAGGTCATGTTTTCTGGAACACGTAGACATCTGCTGGATTCTGTATGGTGGTGTGCGCCCACACATTTTCCTGGGTCTGTATATTAACTCGACAGCCTGGTGGCTGCCAAACTGCTTCTGGCACAGCCCTGGCCCCTTTCTTTTCCCATGGGAGGCATAGAGCAGGGCAATAGTTTTCCCAGCTGGTGCTCCTGGGCAACGCCTTGAGCCTTGAGGGGTGTTCTCCTTCCTTCCTCCTCCTTCACCCCAGATGGAACGAGATTCCCATGCTGGATTCCGTCCCAAATCAGGCTACCTATGTTAACCAGCTGTGTGACCTGGGTAAGTTCTTTCCCTTTGCTGACACTCCTTCAACCTGTGGGATGAGGCACCTTGCGTCTCTCCTAATGCCCACTTAGCCCCTGGCACTGGGGCTCTTCTCTGCAGTAACATCCAACCACTGGGAGTGAGAGTCAGCTGGACACTGGTGTGGGAGGCGGATACAGTAAGCAGCTATGTGTTCCAGCTGCTCCAGCCAGGCAGACATGTTCCCCTTTTACTTGGAGATGGTGTCTTGCTCTGTTGCCCAGGCTGGAGCACAGTGGCGTGATCTTGATGCACTGCAGCCTCCGCCTCCCGGGTTCAAGTGATTCTTCTGCCTCAGCTTCCCGAGTAGCTGGGACTACATGCACCCACTATCACGCCTGGCTAATTTTTATATTTTTAGTAGAGACAGGGTTTTGCCATGTTGGCCAGACGGGTCTTGAACTCCTGACCTCAGGTAATCTGCCTGCCTTGGCCTCCCAAAGTGCTGGGATTACACGTATGTGCCACCGCACCCAGCCGAGGTTTGAAATTTTAAATGGATTGTGAAGGGCTGGGCTCAGTGGCTTATGTTCCTTTTTAAATCCACTTCCACTAGCGCTCATGTGGACAGTGCTTCCTCTCCATCCCTTGTGGGGTAAGAGCTGGCAGACTCGGAATCTGACTCTGCTGCCTGCCCTGTTTTTTTGTTTTATTTATTTATTTTTTTGGAGATGGAGTTTTATTCTTGTTGCCTAGGCTGGAGTGCAATGGCACAATCTTGGCTCACCAAAACCTCCGCCTGCTGGGTTCAAGTAATTCTCCTGCCTCAGCCTCCTGAGTAGCTGGGATTACAGGCATGTACCAACATGCCCAGCTAATTTTATATTCTTAGCAGGTTTCTCCATGTTGGTCAGGCTGGTCTCGAACTCCCAACCTCAGGTGATCTGCCTGCCTTGGCCTCCCGAAGTGCTGGGATTACAGGTGTGAGCTGGGATTACTGTGCCCGGCTTGCCTTCTATTTTTGTGACCTCACCAGGTCATCTAAATTGAAACTCAGTTTCCTCATTTGTGTAATGAACATAAAAACCCATATCCTCCCAGCCTCATGGGCCTTTCATAAAGATCTCAGAGTTCCAAAGGGCTTTGTGAATACTGGGGAGAAAATGGATTCTATCATAGCACAGGACATTGTCCACAACCTAGAAATGATTAAAAAAATTTTTTTTTCTTTTTTTTTTTTTTTTCTAGAGATGGGGTTTCACCATGTTGGTCAGGCTGGTCTTGAACTCCTAACCTTGTGATCTGCCCGCCTCAGCCTCCCAAAGTGCTGGGATTACAGGCATGAGCCACAGTGCCTGGCCTGATTGTTTTTAATTTTTTGAGACAGCATCTAACTCTGTTACCAGGCTGGAGTACAATGGCTCCATCGTGTCTCACTGCAACCTCTGCCCCGCGGGTTCAGGCAGCCCTCCCACCTCAGCCTCCAGAGTAGCTGGGACTATAGGCACATGCCACTGCACCTGACTGATTTTTGTATTTTTTTTTTTGGTAGAGTTAGGGTATCGCTCTGTTACCCAGGCTGGTCTCCAGCTCCTGGGCTCAAGCAATCCCTGGCCTCCCAAAGTGCTGGGATTACAGGTGTGAACAACCACAGGTAGGTAGCACCAGAAATGATTTTTAATTTTAATTTCTTTCTTTTTTTTTTTTTTTTTTGAGACAGTGTCTCTCTCTGTTACCCAGCCCGGAGTGCAGTGGCGCATTTTTGGCTCACTGTAACCTCTGCCTCCTGGGTTCAAGCGATTCTCCTGCCTCAGCCTGCCAAATAGCTGGGACTACAGGCGCCCATCACCATGCCCGGATACTTTTTGTATTTTTAGTAAACATGGAGTTTCACTATGTTGGCCAGGCTAATCTCAAACTCCTGACCTCGAGGTGATCCACCCGCCTTGGACTCCCAAAGTGCTGGGATTACAGGTGTGACCCGCTGCGCCTATCCTAGAAATGATTTTTAAACAGAGATTTCCAAATACTAGGCAGCGATCCTTTGCTCACTGGCCATCGGATTAGTATCAATGTTGTAATTACGGGGCCAGAAGCCCCTTGGAGTGGTCTGAAGTTGTATGGGGCTGGGGGGTGGCGGGAGGGGTGTGTGCTGCTCAGAGGTGGTACGAGCCGAGGCATGGCGGGGGTTTCTGGAGCCTAAGCTCAGCCTGCCCTTAGGAGGCTGGAGGGGGTGGACGTGGTTTAGCTTCTGCTGTGCAGTATTTCTGAGAAGTGGGTGCAAACAGCCAAGGCGGTAGGTATGCGGCAGAGTCTCAAGGGCTGAGGACCTGGCTGGGTGAATGGAGGCCTCGGGACACCTCTCCCGCCTACCATCTATCACTCACTCCCCAGCCCCCAACCTAGTCCCTCGTCCATGCCCCGCTTCGCTCTGCCCAAGGGCACCCTACCTTGTACCCCTGGATGTCTCCATTCTGGCTGTCCAGCGGAGGTGGCTCCCAAGTCACATCCAGCTGCGTGGCCGTGGCACCGTGGACGACCACATTACGAGGTGCTGCTGTGGGCACTGGAGGGCGTGTGGGATAGGGAGTGAGCGTGCAAATAAACCCGGGAGGGGAGGTGGCTGGGGTGGGGTGGGGATCCCAGAGCCCATCTCTCCCGGCTGGATGGCTGGATGGGGTGGGGCTGGGAAAGGCATACTGGGGCCGGACAGGGCTGACGCCGCTCACCTGCCTCCCCCACAAAGACCTCGTGTGGGGGGCTGGAGGGCCCCTCGCCCACGGCATTGTACACGCTCATTCGTATCTCGTACCGCCTGTGTTTGTTAAGGTCTGTGGGGAAGAACAGGGGAGGGGGGGCATACTGAGGTCACCATCCCTGCTGGGAAGGTGCCCCCCAGGGAGGGTGGAGGCTGTAGGCGGGGGGAATGAGGCACCTTGCATTCTAGCTTGCTGTGTGAAGGTGCAGGAAGAAGGAGGTGAGAGGCGGGGCTCCCCGGGGATGCTCCGTGCCAATCTGGACATAGGGCAGTGCTGGTTGACCTCCTGGCCTAGGGTGGCCATACATTTTACCGTCCAACTGGACACTTTTAAGACTGAAACGCACTATGACTATTTACACTGGGACAGCCAGTGTAAACCAAAGCTGCCCTGGGCACGCCTGGCCATAGCATCATCCCCTACCCCCGGCCTGTCCTCTTTCCCCACCGTGTCAGATGCCCAGAGTCCCTTCAGTCCCCCTCCACCAACTCTTGACACAGTGGGGCTCAGCTCCAGGGGAGACGGGCGCGATGGATGTGAATTCTGGACTAAGAAACCTGATGTTTCTGCCAAGTGCCTGGCTGGGAACGCCTGGCAGAACTTGGAAGAGGGACGCAGCTGCAAGAAATGGGCTCAGTCACTGTCCCCGGTGGCTGAAAGGTTCTCTCAACCTCTCCACTCTTCTCTCTCTGGGTTCTCCGCCCCTGCTCCCTTCCCCTGGGTGGAGTCTACGCTTCAACAGGGCTGTGAGAGGGGTGTCACCCGTGCCTAGCTGTCTATGCAGACTGTGTTGGCCCCTGGTGGACGGAGGAAGGAGGAAGAGGACTTAGCCTTAAATCAGTGCGATTTTCCCCGAGCGTGAAACCCTCTTGCGCAAGGCCCTGGGTCTCAGGAAGAACCATGGCTGGGGCTTTAGAGAAAGATCAAGGGCCAGGGTGTGCCAGCAGCAGGAACATGCCTGATGCATGGGAGGACAACGGACACAGGTGACTAAAACTGCCGTCACCTCCCTCCGGGTGTGGGGTCGGACCGAGAAGTGCCTTCAATGGGACTGGGCGGGGCAGCAGCCACTGGAACACCTGCTCACATACTCAGCAGTGTCCACTAGCTCCTGCTGCAGCCCCCGCTGTCACTGTCCCCCGACCCAGCAGAGCACAGGGATAGACCTTCATTTTCCAGCCCACACCTGACAGAGGGCAAGCGTGAAGGAGACGTTCCCTGGCAACCGCCTACTTTGTCGTGTGTTTAGGGCCATTGCTTGTGTTCAGGGCGGCCCCATGCCTCAAGCCCCCTGGGGTGGGCACACCCCTCAGCCTGTGAGATCTCTCGAGGCCCCACTCCCACTCCCCGTGGGAGGCTTGGGCCCGCGAGGAAGCCGGCATGCAAGCAAGAGACTTACTGTCCAGCTCGTACTGCGTGAGGCTGGGCCGGCTCAGGTTCCGCATGGAGTACATGGCTATGGGTGGGGGTGTTGGGGCGGGGGCGCAGAGGGAGACAGCAGATAGAGGAGGTTAGTGCACACACATCCCCACCTCACAAAGAAACCCCGGCCAGGCGGGGCTGACAGCACGAACAGACAGGAAGAGTGTTTCCAGATTTCCAATGCTGAGTTAGGGGCCAGGATAACCATGTGGTGGGGGTGGGGGAAGGCTCCCTCAACAGTCTGCCCCCACCTTGGTGTGCACTGGCCCAAGGTGACATGGTACCTGGAGGCCCCTGTAGCCCAGGATCTCTGGGGACAGCTATGGGGGACCCTCCCACCTCAACTGTCTTCCTTGTTTCAGGCAGAGCTCCTGGAAACCATCATGAAATACTGCAGTTGTTAATTTCCTCGTATGAACCAGAAACAATTTTACTACTAGGAAATATGACTGTATTATACACAGGCAATATAAAATCGCAACTACAAGCACATGTGGGAAAAAAAAAAAAAAGGAAAAAATCTCCACCAAAAACGCGAGCTGTTGGATCAGCTACGTCTGAGTTTTTCTATCAATATTCCTTTGCTACATGCGCAATCATTTTGTTGTCTGCTAACTCACTGTAAGACAAGGCACAAAAGGCTTGGGAGAACTAAGGAAGGACACATGAAAACGTAGAGGCTAGGCTGAGCGTGGTGGCTCATGCCTGTAATCTCAGCACTTTGGGAAGCCAAGGTGGGTGGATCACCTGAGGTCAGGAGTTTGAGACCAGCCCGGCCAACACAGTGAAATCCTATCTTTACTAAAAACACAAACATTAGCTAGGTATAGTGGTATGTGTCTGTAGTTCCAGCTACTGGGGAGGCTGAGGCCGAAGAATCACTTGAATGTGGAAGGCAGAGGTTGCGGTGAGCCCTGAAATCACGCCACTTCACTCAGCCTGGGCAACAGAGCAAGACTCCTTTCATCTCAAAAAGAAAAAAAGGCCAGGTGTAGTGGCTCATGCCTGTATCCCGGCACTTTGTGGGCGGAAGCAGGTGGATCCCCTGAGGTCAGGAGTTTGAGATCAGCCTGGCTAATATGGTGAAACCCCATCTCTACTGAAAATACAAAAATTAACTGGGTGTGACAGCGGGTGCCTGTAATTCCATCTACTTGGGACTGGCCCTAAATCCAATGACTCGTGTCCTTATAAAAAGGAAGAGAGGGCTGGATGCAGTGGCTCGTACCTGTAATCCCAGCACTTTGGGAGGCTGAGGTGGGTGGATCATGAGGTCAGGAGTTCGAGACCAGCCTGGCCAACATGGTGAAACCTCGTCTCTACTAAAAATACAAAAAATTAGCTGGATGTGGTGGCATGCACCTGTAATCCCAGCTACTTGGGAGGCTGAGGCAGGAGAATTGTTTGAACCTGGAAGGCAGAGATCGCAGTGAGCTGAGATCATGCCATTGTACTTCAGCCTGGGCAACAAGAGTGAAACATCTCCAAAAAAAAAAAAAAAGAAAAAAGGAAAATGAAGAGGCTCTTACACTGACCCACTCCCCTGCTAGTCTGTTTGGGTGAGTGTCCCACACCCACCTGAGTACCCAGGCCTCTAGGGTGCCCCTGCCTACTGCTCTCTCTCACTATGAACCAGTCATGGAGTCTCAGACAGGTGGGTGGAGGATATTTAGGGAAGGAGGCTCTTTATAAAAACCTCTAGTGATCTGAATCCAAATCTCAGGTGAATACAAGCACTTCAGACCCAAACAAGCCAAAGGTGTAGATGAACATTAGCTTTGAGCCACCAGGAAAACCAGTTTTTCCTTTCATTATGTACCAACGTGTTCTAATTGTTGCCATCTGCTGTGCTGTAAGATAGTTGATCGGTAGCAGCACCTTGCAGCATTCTGTCTAAAGCTCTTAACTGTCATCAACACACCCAACTATCTGCCAATGTGGAATACTAAGCAATTATTATGTGAGTGACTGATTTACTTTGAAAAATCAAAAACAGACCAGGCACGGTGGCTCACGCCTGTAATCCCAGCACTTTGGGAGGCCAAAGCAGGCAGATCACTTAAGGTCAGGGGTTCAAGACCAGGATGGCCAACATGGCGAAATCCTGTCTTTACTAAACAAAACAAACAAACAAACAAACAAAAAACCCACAAAAATTAGCTGGGCATGGTGGCACCTGCCTGTAGTCCCAACTACTTGGGAGGCTGAGGCACGAGAATCACTTGAACCCAGGGGGTGAAGGTTGCAGTGAGCCGAGATTGCACCACTACACTCCAGCCTGGGCAACAGAGCAAGACTCCACCTCAAAAACAAAAACAAAAAAAACCAAAAGAAAACCCCGAGTCTTGGAGCATCTGTGCCCATCACGTATTATCTCCCAGACTGGCCTTGGTTCCAACCTCGTGCTCTCTTGCTATGTGATGGAGACAGCCTCCAGCTGGGCCCCTGCCTCTGGCTCCTATCCTCCCACCATGGCCAGGCCATTCTCCTCATGCTACCAATGTGACTCCTAACACAAAAGTCCGAGCACATCTGTCCCTTGCTGTGACCTCCTGGACATCAGCTCTCCCTGACATGTCCACCTGGCCTCCCTGCTTTCCTTCTTTCACTCCACGGGGCAGGCTGGATCCCCAGGACAGGCAGGACAGTGACTTCCCCCAGGAAAAAGAGGGAGTCAGGACTGCTGGTCTTGGCGCGTGACCAGGCGAGGCTTCTGGTCCCTCAAGGGCAGGGTGCTCCCTCCCATGCACTGGGCTGTCCCCATCCCTTTGGCCTGGCTAACTTGGCATCGTCCTTCCATGTTAGCGCCAGAGCCATGAGCGCCTCACGCCGGGAAAGCCTTGCCTGGCCCTCCTGGCTCCTCCTCCAGCCTGCAACTCCATGGTGGGTAAGGACCCTGTCTGTCTTGATGATCCGTGTGCCCCACAGTGTCTTGGGGCCCATAGAAGGTGCTCAGCAAATATTCAGTACATGAATGAATGGGATGGGAGGAGGGAGAGGCACACAGGGGAAGGAGGCAGGGTTTCAGGTTAGGGTGGTTCCAGAAAGCTGAGAGCTCCAGAGCGGGAAGGCGAGGGTGACCACCCCGTCCCACCCATTCCCTGGCTCCCGAGTGCCACTCACAGGTAAGCTCGGCCCATGTAGCCCCCGGGTTGTTGATGCCTCGAAGCGTGAAGCCCCTCAGTCCCTCATAGAGCAGCTCCCGGTACCGGATCCGGAAGCCCAGGAGGACGCCGTTGATCTTGTCCTCAGCTGGCGGCTGCAGGGAAGGGAGCAGGGATGGGGAGGGAGCCCGGACCACCGCCCACTCCACCCCATGCCCACTTATCATGCCTCCCGCAGCCACAGAGCAGCGTCTGTGTTTCAACCGGGAAAAGAAATCAAGTTAACATGAAGCATTTTAAATTTACAAAGCACTTCTGACGAGGTGATTTCATCCCTGCAGCGTTCCCTGGAAGGAGGGAAGGGCAGGAATCCACAATTGCCTTTTACCCAAGCAGGGAACTGGAGCTCAGAGATGTTCAGGAACTTGCCCAAGATCACACAGCATCATTGGGGGCTGGAGCACACAGCTGTTTTCACAGCTCCTTTGTCTTCAAGGCTGCTCTCCCCTAATTACCAGCCTCCCCAGGCCTGCTGGTCCCTGCCTTCACACCTGGATAAATCTTCCTGGCGTCTCCCGCAAGCTGAGCCCTCTCCTACTTTTAGTACTGGCAAGGGTGAGTGTGCCCCTCACCCCTTCATCAAATTCTCCTTTGTTGATCTCCTGTCTACAGCTCAGCTGCAGAACAGGCTCTGGGAGAAGGTGGGAACTACTTCTTAATGATAATGCATATAAAGAATGGGCTGAGCAGTGGGGCCAACACGGTGAAGCCCCGTGTCTACTAAAAATATACAAATCAGCTGGGTTAGGCCGGGTGTGGTGGCTCATGTCTGTAATCTCAGCATTTTAGGAGGCCGAGGTAGGTGGATCGCCTGAGGTCAAGAGTTTGAGACCAGCCTGGCCAACACGGTGAAACACCATGTCTACTAAAAATATAAAAATTAGCTGGGTGTGGTGGCGGGCACCTGTAATCCCAGCTACTTGGGAAGCTGAGGCAGGAGAATTGCTTGAATTTGGGAGGCAGAGGCTGCAGTGAGCCGAGATTGTGCCACTGCACTCCAGACTGGGTGACAGAGCAAGACTGTCTCAAAAAAAAGAAAAAAACCCCAAAAACCCTGCTGAAATGGCTCAGCCTTTATTAGCGCCTATGGCTGCCCCAGCTGCTGCGGGCACCTCCCTGCCCCCTCTGCCGAGTTGAGCCAGCCTCATCCTGGTCACAGGAGCACTAGGTCGTGTTCATCTAAGGGAGTGTCCTCTCCTTGAGGCTGTGTGTCTCAGGCTGGGGAGGGCCTGGGGGGCCCTCCTGGCTTTGTCTTCAAGGGCTTTCTCTATGGGGGACAGCAGACGGCTGAAGGCGAGTGCCTGCCCTTTTGATCTGGAGAAGTGGTAACGGGAGTTCAGTGCTTTGGGGCCTCTGTGGGTGACCTGCTGAGTCAAGGCTGGACTTCAGAGGGCACAGGAGGGCCCCACAGGGCAGGACCCATGAGCAGCCTGGTTGCTGAGGTTTGCCGGTGGCCTTCCCCAGGCCATGGCAGTGCCCACCAAATTGTGGGCATCTGGAACGGGTATGGAGGAAGGGGGGTATTTTCTCTACTTGGACAGTGATGGTGACGGGCATGGGTCTTTATAAGGAATCCCTTCACTGACCAGTGATGGCTTCATAGAGACTCTGGGGGCCCTGGGAGCCCTAAGCACTTTCCAGTCCAAGGACTCAGCAGACCTAAGGCTAATACGCCTGGCCCTGCCACTCAGAGGCTGTGTGACCTGGGGCCATTCGGGTTCCGCCCTGAGTCTCAGTGGTCGTCTGCAGAAGGGGATGACAGCAGCTGGCTGATGTGACTGTCTGGAGAGCGTCATGAGGTGTGTTATACGAGTGTGCGTGTGTGTGCATGTGCGTGCATGCGTGTGCATAGAATGTTCCGTGACATGCACACGCCTGGATTTCTCATGGCTTCCCAGGTGCTCTGACGGCAGAGAACCCGGGGGTTCCCTGTAGCCCTGGTGGGGGATGCTGGCTTTCTAGTCCCAGGGCAGAGCTTATCTGAGTCTTCATGGAACCTTCCTGCCTGCTGGGCCGTACCTGCCATCGGATGAGCACGGAGGTGGTGGTGTGGGGTGTCACGGAGAGGATGGTGGGCGCTTCGTCGGGGGCTGTGGAGAGAGGCAGATAGGTGGGTCCTGGGGGCCGTGGCTTCAAGTCACCCAGGAGCCCACGGGGACCAGATTCTGCTAGCACTGGACTGCGGGACAGGTCCAGCCTGTATCGGCCTTCATGCTGCTGGCCCAACTTCTGCAGAACTAAGGGGCGGTGTGAAGGGGAGGGAGGGAGGGTTTGTGAGCTGACCCAGCCCAAACCCAAGGGTCCCAGAGCCCCCTCCATTCGGTTCAGAGTCACAGGCCACTTTTGCTGCTGCCGAGACCTCCCCATCCCGCTTACTGGCAGGGATATAAGGAAGGAATGTGTCACAGGCCGGGCTGGGTCTGGGACCCTGAGCCCTTGGCAAAGGTGTGTCTGGCCCAAGCCTCTCTGAGACCCTACCCCGGGAGCTGAAGGGCCCAGTGGGCCCCACGCCCCTCTCATCTTTGGAGGCCCCTCCCCCTAGAAGAAAATGGCCCCATACCCAGGAAGCAGCCAGTGGAGGGGGAGAGAGACTGCTGGGGGTGGGCACTGACTGGCCCAGGAAGCAGCCAGTGGGCAGGGAGAGACTGCTGGGGGCGGGCACTGACCGGCCTGCAGGGTGGTCAGTGACTCCGACTCCTCACTGAACTCGCTGTCGCCAATGTCGTTGGTCGCCTTCACTCGGAACTTGTAGGACGTGAAGGGCTTAAGCCTGTGGGGGGAAATCAGGCCCAATGAGACAAGGTGCTCCTAAAATCCTCTCCCCGTGCCACCACCAAGGAGTCTCCCTGATCTGCTCAGGGAAAGGGGTGGGTTGCAAGCCCACTACACAGAAGGGAACACTGAGGCTCAGAAAGGAGCTTTGCTGCAAAGCGGACAAACTGGAACCCAGCCCCAGGGGTCCCACGTACCCTGACCAGGTCCTCCAGACCATGCCAGCTCGGGGAGCCTTTAGCCCCAGTTACAAGCCATAGCTTCCTGAGAGGAAACGTCTGCAAATTCCTCACCTCCTAGAACCAGCAGCCAGTGAAATCACCAGTATCTTCCTCTCCAAACAAACTCCTCCCCTGCGCCCCAACAAACCGCCAGCTTTCTTTCTTTTTTTTTTTTTTTTTTTTGTTGTTTAAGATGGAGTCTTTTTTTTCTTTTTCTTTTTTTTTTTGAGACAATCTCGCTCTGTCACCCAGGCTGCAGTGCAGTGTAGTGATCTTGGCTTACTGCAACCCCCGCCTCCTGGGTTCAAGCGATTCTCGTGCCTCAGCCTCCCGAGTAACTGGGAAAACAGGCGCGTGCCACCATGCTCAGCTGATTTTTGTATTTTAGTAGAGACAGGGTTTCATTATCTTGGCCAGACTGATCTCAAACTCCTGACCTCAGGTGATCCTCCCGCCTTGTGCTGCGATTATAGATGTGAGCCACTGCACCCAGTCTTTCTTAAATTTAGTAAATTAGAGAAGAGTTGAGGTTCTCAAGAGTTAAGCAGTACTTCCTCTCAATAAGCCTTATTTCCTCTGGGAGAAAATATCTCTCTTTTAGACTGATGGGGGATGGGAGAGGTGGGGAAGAAAGTATTGCTCAAAACTCCTGGTCACGTCAACTGAAATATAAAAAAATACAACCCAGTCGGAATTAAATTGAAGCTAGAATTTTGGAGTGAAACTCCACTCCCCTATTAAAGCTGGAGAGGAAGAGCCTGGCCGGCTGGAAGAATCACTAATGAAGGATGACAGGCACTTCACTAAAGGGGACTTCTGGGCTCCAGAAATAATATTGAAGAGGCAATCTAACAGCGTTCAGGAGGAACAGAGGGAGGGGGAGCGGGGTAGAGGGTGAGAGTGGACATGGAGACCCCTGGATGGTGTGTGCTAGGAGGAGAGCTGGGGGCAGGCTGGAGGTGTTCTCAGAAGGCCCCCCCACCCAGTGGACCTTCTGACAACAGCTGGCTGATGTGCTGGTCCTGGCAGGGGGAGGGGCGGTGGGGATGCTGGCTCGGACCCCGGCCTCACCTGTCCACAATGAAGCTGGAGGCGTTGTGGCTGACGGAGGCCGAGTGCAGTGCCCACCTGCCGCTGGGCAGCTCGCGGGTCTGGATGGTGTAGTAGCGCACAGGGGACAGCCCGTCGCTCCCGGGCTCCCAGGACAGCAGCACGCTGCGTGCTCTCACGTCCTCCTGCTGTGCCACCGGCCTGCTAGGGGGCTGCGGGCGGTCTGGGGGATGGCAGAGGGGGAGGAGCAGGTGAGCCGGCTGGTCCAGGGCAGTGGAGGGGGTTGGACTTTCTTGATAAGGAAAGGAGATTTGGGCTCAGGCCTGGCATCCCCTTCCCCTCCCAATTCCACGCACGCAGGATCCTTGCAGGTTCCACACCTGGGTACAGACAGCACCTCTCTCCGGAGGGCAGCCTCTGGCTCCTAGAGCCCCAGGGCCTGGGAACTTACAGCTCCTCAGGGCAGCTCTAAGCAGGGACTGACGGTGAGGAGGGCAAACACCCACCCCGCTCTGTCGCTCCTGCCCGAAATGAACGAGGCCGAGTGGAGCCCTGCACCGTTTCCCTACGAGGGACGCTGCTTCAGTCCAGGACCCAGCTTGGCTTCCTTCTCTCTCTCCCCAGCCTCCCTGCACCTTCCCTCCTGCCGGGCTTCTCAAACCTCAGCACTAACTGGAACTCAGAACACACGACTGCGGCGGGGGCATCTGTGCTCTGCAGGAGGCTTAGCAGCGTCCCTGGCCTCCACCCATGCCAGTAGAACCCCACACTGTGACAACCAAAATGTCTCCAGGGAGGGCCGATGTGCCCTGGGGCCAAAGCGGTCAAGCAGCTGCTTGGTTTTTCCACTGTCCTGGTTTTTCCTGAGTACATTTTCCCCTTCCTTTCCCCCTTCCCTCCTTCCCTCTCCCTCTTTTTTCTCTCTCCCTTCCCTCCCTCCCTCCCTTCTTTCTTTCTTTGCTTCCTTTCTCTCTTTCCTTCCTTCCCTTCCCTTCTTCCATCCCTTCCTTCCTTTTTTTCTCCCTCCCTTCATTCTTTCACTCTCTCTCTTTCCCCCACCCTCTCTCCTCTCCCCCATCCCCGTCCCTCCCTCCCCTCCCTTCCCTCCTTCCTTCCTTTCTTTTTCTTTCTTTCTTTAAACACAGACAGGGCCTAGATCTGTTGCCCAGGCTGAAGTGCAGTGGCACCATCATAGCTCACTGCAGCTGCAAACTTGTTGATTCAAGCAGTCCTTCTACCTTGGCCTCCTGAATGTCGGGGACCACAGATGTATGCCACCACACCTGGCTATTATTTCTTTCTTTTTAGACAGAGTCGTGCTCTGTTACCTAGGCTGGAGTGCAGTGGTGCGATCTCGGCTCACTGCAACCTCTGCCTCCCAGGTTCAAGGGATTCTCTTGCCTCAGCCTCCCAAATAGCTGGGATTACAGCACTCGCCACCACGCCTGGCTAATTTTTGTATTTTTAGTAGAGATGGGGTTTCACCATGTTGGCCAGGCTGGTCTTGAACTCCCGATCTCAGGTGATCTGCCCTCCTCAGCCTCCCGAAGTGCTGGGATTTCAGGCGTGAGCCACCGTACCCAGCCTTTGGCTAATATTTCTATATTGTGTAGAGACAGGGTCTTGCTATGTGTCCCAAGCTTAGAGTATTTTCTAACATATCCCTTTCAGAACAATTGGGGTCCCACGCTTGCTTTTGGGGAGCCCAAGGTCAGGCAATGTGGTCGCTCAGGGCAGCAGCGAAGTGGTACCTGGAGCTCCAGGCTGCAACCCTAATCCTGCACCTATCTGTCGTGGCAAGGCGAGGGCTGCCGGGGGAGAGGGGAAGATGTCACTGACCCTCCTTTAATTAATTAATTAGTTAATTTGGAGATCGTCTCGTTGTGTCACCCAGGCTGGAGTGCAGTGGTGCAATCTTGGCCCACTGCAACCTCCGTCTCCCGGGTTCAAGTGATTCTTGTGTCTCAGCCTCCCTAGTAGCTGGGATACAGGTGTGTGCCATCACACCTGGCCAATTTTTGTATTTTCAGTAGAGACGGGGTTTTGCCATGTCAGCCAGGCTGGTCTTGAACCCCTGACCTCAAGTGATTCACCTGGCTCGGCCTCCCAAAGTGCTGGGATTACAGGTGTGAGCCACCACGCCTGGCCACTAACCTTCCCTTTACAAAACCAGACCAGGGCAGGGTCCTTGGGAGTGGAACTCACAACTCCTCTCTGGGAGTCTACTAGACCCCTCGCTGACTTTGACTGCAGAGATAGGAGCCTGCCCTCCATTCTCACCCAGGGCACTGTGCCTCATACCACCATCCACTAGGAGTGGCTCAGAGCACTGGCTGGCTGTGGGTGCCCCTCGGCTGCATCCCAGGCTTCCCCTGGCCCCTGTGGGCAGTCACCTCTCTTCTCGGTGGTCACTACCAAGGCCTCGGCAGCCTCTCCCCAGCCCTTTCGCGTCTGGGCTGTTATGCGGAACAGGTAGACAGACTCCGGCTTGAGGCCCGTGGCTGTGTACTGGCGGGCGCTGGGTGCCAGTACCTCCACTGTGGCAGTGTTGGCTGTGGTGGTGTTGAGCCGGTGTGTGATCTGGTAAGCTGCGGGAGGAAGCACATGGCTGTCACAGCAAGCAAGGCAGGCTGCCCCCAGCACCCTGGGGAGGGCCGTTCTGTCTGAAGCCACAGCTGTGTTGGCACCTGGCCACCTCGCTGTGGTCACCTTGGCTGTGGCCACCTTGCTGTGACCACTTTGGCTGTGGTCACCTTGCTGTGACCACCTTGGCTGTGGTCTGTGTGCCTGAGGCCTCTGGGTCACTCTCCAGTCTTCAGCTGCCACCTGGGGAGGGTGGACTGTGGGAGACATGGAGAGGCACTCTATGCACAGTGTCTGTGACCCCTGTAACAGTCCCAAGTGAAGAAACTGAGGCCCGGAGAGGCCAGACCACTGGCTAGTAAGTGACCGAGCTGGAATCCCAGCTGACATCTTTCTAGGTGAAAGCACTTGCTCCCCATGCCTCCGCTCTGTCTTAGGAATGTGGCATCACTCTAAGGCAGGTGGTACATGAGGTCAGGACTGAGAACCCTGGGACGGGCACTGGTAGTCCAAGCCACCGTTTTAAAAGTGAGGGGACTGAGGCCGCAGAAGGAACAGGCTTGCACCAGTTTATGCAGTGCCGCCCGGAACCCTGGGTGCGTGCGTTGGGGGACCCCTGGGTGCGTGTTGGGGGACCCCTGGGTGTGTGTGTTGGGGGAACCCTGGGTGTTGGGGGAACCCTGGGTGCGTGTGTTGGGGGAACCCTGGGTGTGTGTGTTGGGGGACCCCTGAACTTGAGATGAAGCTTCCCCTCTGCAGCCTCCCTCCCCCGCACCTTGGGCCTGCCTTCCAGCTGTGCTGAGCCTGCCAGCATGCCCTCAATTGGCCACGCTAAGGAACAGCGTCCGAGGTTTACCAGATGGCTGGGGGGCTGGGGCCTGGGGACATTCCGGGATGCAAAGCCAACCCATGACCCTTAAGGGACTTGAAATTTGATCTCACCCTCCAGAAGAGAATCTTACAGACTGGAACTTCTAACGGGAGGACTAACACCCAGATCCCAATTTAGAGGGCATGTGGAGGCTCCCTGGGGCTACTCTCCCTCTAGCCAGTAACGAAGTGGCCTCCTCTGCAGCTCAGACCCCCTCCATCCTGCAGCTGGGGCATGGGAAGGGCAGAGGCTTACCAAGAATGATGCCGTTGGGGGCAGCAGGGGGTTGCCAGATCAGCCGCACAGACGTGGTCCGCACCTCCGGAAACAGAATGCCCATGGGTGGTCCCGGGACTGGAGTGAGCAAAGGAGAAGAGTCTGACCCGTGAGGCTCCGCTCAGCTGGGGATGAGCCCCGCTCGGGCAGAGCAGCCCGGCGGGGTGGAGGGGAAGGGGCCGCTCAGGTCAGTGAATTTCTGTGGAGTGCTGCCCTGTGCCCAGCACTGTGTTAGGAACCAGGATCAAGAACACGGAACCAATGGGGATTTCTGACCTCAAAATAGGTGTTATTTGGCAGAGACCCGAGGCTGCAGCTTTCTCTGCTCACTGTCTGTATACACGCCCCAGAACTAGGCTGCCCTCAGAGCTGGGCGTGGGGGCTCTGGATGGATGGGTCTGTGCATCAAAGGGTCCTGTTCTGACTTCCTTCCACCATGGCGTGAAGTGGCCGTGGGCAATGGAAATGCCCACCCCCAGCCTGCACCAGTCTGCTCTCTAGACCTTGCTCTGGAATCCTGGAATTCCCCACCTAGAGCGCCCTAAGGTTCCAGGGGCTGCATGGGCCAGTTCCCCACATCCACCCTCCTGGGGGTAGGCTGTGTACCCCTGGCTCCAGGGATAGCCAAGGGGAAGCTGTTTTGCAGGTGTAGAGATGAAGATTGAATGGAGTGGGCCGAAGGAGAGGGTGAGGAGAGAACAGGGCAGAGGGTGGGGGAGGACAGCTGGGGAGGGGGTACTCTTCTGTGTTGCCACATTCCAGCACAGAATGACAAGATGTCTGAGATTTCCTTTTTTTTTTTTTTTTTTTTTTTTTTGAGACAGACTCTCACTTCCTCGCCCAGGCTGGAGTGCAGTATGCAATCTTGGCTCACTGCAGCCTCTGCCTCCTGAGTTCAATAAATTCTCCTGCCTCAGCCTCCCAGTAGCTGGGACTACAGGCATGTACCACCACACCTGGCTAATTTTTGTATATTCAGTAGAGGCAGGGTTTCACCATGTTGGCCAGGCTGGTCTCAAACTCTTGACCTCAAGTGGTCTGCCTGCCTCAGCCCCCTAAAGTGCTAGGATTACAGATGTCAGCCGCTGCGCTGAGCCTGAGATTTGTACACTTGAACCTGGCCTTCTAGGTCATTATAAGGGTATATCTGTCAAGGCAGGAGGATAGAACATATTTAATTTAACAGTTCATTAGCCTGATTAATAACGTTGGCATATACAAACATATGGTACTTGGGCTTCCCTCTGCACTCTGGTCCAGCTCCTGCAAATGTCTGTGGTGGGCAGTAGGTTCGATGTGTGTGGAGAGGTGGGGGGCGGACGAGGGCTGCATTGGTCAGCTTCTGACGGGGAGTTTTGCTACAGGGATGAATGCCTGCAGCCCGCTGATGACATTCTTTTGCAAACAGGACCAGGAGGTTCATGTGTCCAGGAAATATACTTTCACTTTCACATACCTTTACTCAAAGTAGTAAAAAAATAAAATAAAACTGGCCGGGTGCGGTGGCTCACACACCTGTAATTCCAGCATGTTGGGGGTTAGAGGTGGTGGATCACCTGAGATTAGGCGTTCGAGACCAGCCTGGGCAATACGGTGAAGTCCCATCTCTACTAAAAATACAACAGGCCAGGTGCAGTGGCTCATGCCTGTAATCCCAGCACTTTGGGGGGCTGAGGCAGGCATATCACAGGTCAGGAGATCGAGATCATCTTGACTAACATGGTGAAACCCCATCTCTACTAAAAATACAAAAAAAAAAGTAGCTGGGCATGGTGGCGTGTACCTATAGTCCTAGCTACTCAGGAAGTTGAGGCAGGACAATTGCTTGAACCTGGGAGGTGGAGGTCACAGTGAGCTGAGATCTTGTACTGTAGCCTGGGTGACAGAATGAGACTCTGTCTCAAAAAACAAACAAACAAACAAACAAAAAACACACAAAAACAATTAGCTGGGCATGGTGGCGAGCGCCTGTAATCCCAGCTGCTTAGGAGGCTGAGGCAGGAGAGTTGCTTGAACCCTGGAGGTGGAGGTTGTAGCGGACCAAGATCATACCCCTGCACTCCAGCATGGGGGACAGAGAAATAGTCTGTCTCAAAAGAAAAAAAGAAAAAAAAGAAAAAGAAAGAAAGAAAACAGAAAAGTAAATTAAAACTGGTGAAAGTCCCTGTTCTGCACACTTGTCTCACAGAGAGACCAAGAGACTGAATCCGATGTCAAACCGCCTCCACGGTGTCCTCAGGAACACATGGGCTACAGCTCGCATCCCCTGCAGTGGGGCTGGTAGCTCTGAGTGACCTGTCCCTAAAGGAGGCATCTGAGGCCATGGCTCCCCTGGGGGCAGAGCCTGATCCCAGAAGGGCAAGTCCCGGTGGGCAGGAGGAAGGGCAGCCCCTCCCAGCCTTCCCCAGGCTTGCTGGGGTTTGGACTCACCGTCATCCAGCGTCCGCTCCAGGATGGGAGGGTGGCTGGGGCGGCCGTCTCCGATGCGAGTGAAGGCCAGAACCCGGACCTCGTAGAGCACGTATTTGCCCAGGCCGGTGAGCTGCGCACTGCGAGACGAGTTACCTTCCACCAGCCAGAATCGGGGCTGGGCATCTGAGTCCTTCTCCTTATACATCACCTGTCATGGCCAGCACAGGTGAGGGCCTCGGGCCTGGGTCTCACCCATCAGCACTTTTCCTGAGCCTCGTTCCCAGGGAGGGGGTGGGTAGACTCGGGCTCCTCAGAGTGACTTGGCCCCAAGGGTCAGGGGTAATTGCAAAGCTAGTGTACCCGGAGGGCTGGGAGGCACAAAGACGGACTCAATCACAGAGTGAGAAGGTTCCTGAGAGGGCATGGAGGTGGGAAGACAGTCCCAGGCAGGGGGTGTGCCTTCTGCAAGGTCACACAGCTAGCAGTGGCAGAGCTGAGACTTCAACTCATGTCTCCCAACTTCCAGCCCAGGGCTGGACCAGGCAGCTGGGCACAGCTTTAAAAGGAATTCTAGAAGATAATGAAAGTCAAAACTGGGCCCATGAGAGCTGAATGAGGCTGGGGGCATCTGGCGTGGCCTCCTGGAAGAGGTGGAGTGGCTCTAGGACCTGGGTGCTCTCTGGGTGCCTCCCCACCCAAGGGATGACTCCTGGTTGCCATGGTGACCACTGGCGAGGACACCACCTGCGTTCCCTGTATCCACTCTAGGAGGCAGAGACCCAGAGGGTGATAAGGACAAGGACCCTTGGATGGAGGGGCTGCAGGGGCCAGCTTAGGGACCCTACCTCCTGGGATTCCAGAACTCACCTTGTAGCCCAGCACAAGTCCGTTGCGATCGGCCTCAGGGACGTCGCTCCAGCGCACCAGCATGCTGCTGGAGGTGGTGGCCAGTGCAGACACGTTGGTGGGGCCGGAAGAGGGGACTGTGGGGGGAGGGAGTAGAGAGAAAGCACTCAGGACCCAATGTTGACCGTGCGAGGGACATGGACCAGGACAGGGGGCTGAGGGAGGGGCCGGCCTGATGTGGCCTCTCTATGGAAGAAACATGGCACACATGGTCCCCAAACTGCAAACCATCCCACCAAGGCGGCCTTTGGGTTTGGAATGCTGCAGATGCTGCTTCCGGTTTCAGATGAGCCTGCCCGCAGGATTCTCTGCCCAGGTTAGGATCAGATGAGCTTGCATTTCCTGCTAGCACTAGAGAGGGCTGGGGGAGGGACCAGGGCGACCCAGGAAAGCTGCTTGTGGGTGCCAGGAAAAAGCCACAGAGCAGTGAACTACGTGTGGATGGATAAGGGTTGCCTGGATGCTGGGCTCATATTCTGTGGTCCCCCGAGCAGGCCCCTAGGAGCTTCTGGTAGTGATTCTGGAATGTTCTGAGAGCTAACCCTTTCCCCGATCCCTCCACTGGGGTCTTTCAGGCACCGCTGGGTGACAGGGTTAAAGCTGCGGGCAGGGAAGTGGGCACTGTGAATGGTGGCGACTACCTAGCCGTCCCTGCCCCTGTGCAGGGCCCTGTGAGTCAGGGCCCCCCTTCCTGCAGAGACGGGGTCACTCCGACCCCCCCTTGGGAGTATGGGAAGAGCAGGCTCGGTGCAGGGAAGTGGCAGGTGCTGGGAGACACAGGAACATCACTGTGACACCGAGCACAAGCAGAGGAAATGAGCTCAGGCTGTTTTTGAACAACGGCTTCAGACTGGCAAGCCCTTCGATAGCCCTGAGGGCACAGAGACCATGGAGGGGATAGGCTACAGGGCGACTGGGTACCTGACTCCCGGGTCCTGCCCACCACCGTCTGGCTCCAGGGCCCGCTCCCAATGGCGTTGAAGGCCTGGACCTGGACGCGGTACTCTGTCCATTCCTCCAGGTCCTCGATGGTGTACTCCCGCTCCACACGATCCTGCACCACGTGGCTCAGTGTCTTGCCGTGCCCATCTGACCGGCTGTACTTGATCTTGTAGCCCACGGACTCCGGGTTCCCATTGTATTCCATCTCCGGGAGAGGCTGCATCAGGGCAGGGGCAGCGAAGCTGCTGTGAGCCAGGCCCCCCTGTGCAGGGAAGAACTGCCCTGGTACCCCCTCCTCCAGGGAGCCCTCAGGCTGTCCATCTCACAGTCACCCGGTCAGTGTCCACATGAGGCTCTCTCACCCGAGTGTGGCTTAGGTTGTGTGACTGTGTTTCTGATGGGCTCTTATCTTCCTGCCGGGAGGATGGAGAAGCAGCATCCTTTCTCTACTGTGTATGTGACAAATCTACTACCCTGCCAAGGGAGTCAGGAGACCCGCAAAGGCTGTCTGTCCGACACGCTGAAAGCACCGTAACCTCTGGCTCTGCTGTCTCTGCTGCTTACCTCTGTCACTCCTGCTGCCAGCACGTACTTAACTGCCTGCCACACCTGGTCTCAGCTCTTGCCTGCCTTTGGAGGAGCGAGCGTGGGCAGAGAGCGAGATGCATGCGGCACCTGCCAGTCAGGAAATCCTTCTGTCCAGCAAACCTCAGTCTCTCCTGCTGCATTTTCAGCTTCCTTCCTTCCTTCCTTCCTTCCTTCCTTCCTTCCTTCCTTTATTTATTTATTTATTTATTTATTTATTTATTTATTTATTTTTGAGACAGAGTCTGCTCTGTCTCCAGGCTGGTGTGCAGTGATGTCACCTCAGCTCACTGCAACCTCCGCCTCTGAGGTTCAAGTGATCCTCCTGCCTCAGCCTCCTGAGTAGCTGGGACTACAGGTGCACATCACCACGCCCAGCTAATTTTTATATTTTTGGTAGAGAGAGGGTTTCACCATGTTGGCCAGGATGGTCTTGATCTCTCGACCTCGTGATCCAACTGCCTCAGCCTCCCAAAGTGATGGGATTACAGGTGTGAGCCACCACGCTCGGTCTATTTACTGACTCTGTCTCCCAGGCTGGAGTGCCATGGTGCCATCTGAGCTCACCGCAACCTCTTGGACTCAAGCGATCCTCCTGCCTCAGCCTCCTGAGTAGCTGAGACTATAGGCATGTGCCACCATGCCTGCTAAGTTTTGGAGAGACGAGATTTCACCATGTTACCTAGGTTGTTCTTAAACTCCTGAATTCAAGCCATCTGCTCGCCTTGGCCTCCCAAACTGCCAGGATTCCAAGCCACCAAACCTAACCAGCCTCTTCCTTTTGTTTGAATCTCAAAGAAAAGTCAGATTTCTTTGCTGGATCTTCAGACTAGGCTGGTGGGGCTGTGGTCTCTGGCTCAAGGTTGGGTGGGTGAAATGGACAGTGCTGGTGAGAGTGGGGGCGTGAGCACGGGGAGGGGAGCCCAGGGCCTGGTCTCCACTCTTCTGAAGGGCACAGAGCTGGAGTGGGGGCATCTCCATCCCTCACCTGCCCTGATTCTGCTTCTCCAGGGGCTCTGGAGGACCCGCAGTCCACAGGCTCACCACAGGCTGACCCACTTTATTCCACTCCTCACCTTCGGCCCTGACCTCCCCTGCTCACTCCATATGCCCTCCCTCCTGCAGACATTTAGTGAAGCCGACCAGAGACCATTAAGATAGCAATCGATGGGCCTGAGAGCTGGAGATGGGGCTCAAGTGCATGTTCCCTTACCTGCTAAGGAAAGGTAATGGACCACGCACCATTAAGTGTGGGCTGAGAGGTGTCCGGGGCCCTCCACTGCTTGGCAACTGCCTTTCTATTCCCCCATGCAGCCCCTGCCCTCAGCATCAGACTCTAACCTTTTAGTAGCGGCAAACCTTAAAGCCAGATTCAGGAAGGAAGCAGGGAGCCAGCCCGGGGTGGGGATGCCCAGGAGCGAAGGGGCAGGAGGCGGGCATGCCACACTGTGCGTGGGGCACTGAGCTGGGCCGAGGCAGCCCTGCAGCTCTGCTTAGGTGCCAGCCACTCCGGGAAGGGAACTGCAATTAGTAACTCATATTTATCGAGGACGGACGGTGCCAAGTGCTTTCACCACTGTTAAAATTAAGCCGTCTGCACGTGGAAACAGCAGTAATGACTTCACAGCGTGGTGTGTTTGCACGTTGTGTTTTGTGCAATTAGTAGGATCTTACATGGAAAGAAAGGGGTTACACAGAGTCAAGAGGGCTCTTGCTACGCTAGTGTTCCTGGCTTCTCTGCGGAGCTGTGGTATGCGGTCATTTATTTGTCTAAGAATTTCTTGTTTGCTCCAAGCGCCGCCTGGGATGGCTGCTCTGTGGGACCCATGCTGGGAAAGGATGTTGCAGAGCGCCTGGGGGAGAAATGGCCTCTGCTGTTTTCTGGCGGATGAGACAGCAGTGTGCCCAATGGTTAGGGCTGTGGACTTGCTGGTACAGACTCCCTGGGTTGGCACCTCAGCCCTGCTGATCATGAAAGCACGTGAGAGGATGTGTGAGGCCTTGGGCAAGTTATCTGACCTCCCTGCTGCCCCAGTTTCCTCATCTGCAAAATGTGGACCAGGGGCTGGGTGCGGTGGCTCACGTCTATAATCCTAGCACTTTGGAAGGCCGAGGCAGGTGGATCACCTGACATCAGGAGTTCGAGACCAGCCCGGCCAACATGGTGAAACTCCGTTTCTACTAAGAATGTAAAAAATTAGCCGGGTGTGATTGTGCGCCTCTAGCACCTGTAACTCCAGCTACTCAGGAGGCTGAGGAAGGAGAATTTCTTGAACCCAGGCAGCGGAGGTTGTGGTGAGCTGAGATCACACCATTGTACTCCAGCTTGGGCAACAAGAAAAAAAAAAAAAAAAAAAAAAAGGGACCAGGATCACTGTGCGGTCACAGGCTTGTCCAAACAGCACTGGGAGGAGAAGAAGCCCAGGGTCATGACCCTCAACCCACGGCCCTGATCTGGGGCACACTCTCTGAATGCCACAGTGGCACCTGAACCTCAGACCTGCCGCTTGGGAGCTGTGTGGCCAGTGGCAAGTTCTTAACCTCCCTGAGCCTCAGTTTTCTTAGCTGTAAACTGGGATAATCATGTGTCCTTTGTAAGATTCCTGGGAGAATCAAATGGGATAAAAAATGTAAAATGCTTGGCACGGGGCAGTGCTCAGTATACGGGATTTTTTAACTCCTTCCTCTCGTGGGGGGCGTTTGTTCATTTGGCTAAGATGCTGATGATCGGGCAACTAACCAGATAAGTGAAGAAAAGAGAAAGGCGCTGTAGGAACTCTGAGGACCACCGTCCGGGAGGCCCTGATTGGAGCTCATGGAGGGGTCCCACCCTGCCCTGGAGGGAGCCTCACCATCCAGCGTAGCCACAGGCTGGTCTCACTGGCTGTGCGCAGAGACACATTGGCTGGGGCCATGTCAGGGGGTGCCTGCAGAGTCTGGATCTTTCTAGAAGGCTGACTGGGGGGGCTGGTGCCCACGATGTTCACCTGGCGCATACGGAAGCTGGGGTGGGGGAGAGATGAGGAAGACGGTAAGGGCAGGACCCCAGCTCCCAACCCTGTCCCAGTCTGGGCCACCGCCCCCACCCACCCCCAGCCGTGGGGCCGCTGTCCCCTCCCTGGCCCAGTCTTGTTACCTGTAGTAGGTGAAGGGGTTGAGGTCAGGCACCTCCATGGATCGGGCATCAGGCTCATTGGAGAGCTGGTGGACCAGCAGCCACTCTTCTCCCTCCCCGACCACACCTACCTGGAAAAGGGCAGGACCTTAGGCCCACAGGGTGCTCTGAGCCCAGCTCCTAGGGAGTGGACGCGGGAAAGGACTTGGTTCAGATCCCAGGGCTCATGGAGGGCACCAAATGGGGCTACCATCTTTGCAGGCCCCTACACACGGCTGCAAGTGTGACTCAGCCTTCCTGCCCTAGCGTCCCTCAGGATGCTTGTGATCAACATATTCCCAGGCCTGTCGGAATCCCTGGGACACTGCCCAGGAATCTGTGCTTTTAACAAGCAGCCCAGGTTTCTCTTAAATACCTGGGGTACTTCCAGAGACCCAGGCTGCCCCTCAAACGAGCTACGTCAGAATCAGAGTTTCTGGGGTGGGATGTAAGTGTTGCACTTCTGAACACTCCCCTGATGATTCCAGGGTGCAGCCAAGGCTGATTATATATATACATCATTTAATTTATTTATTTATGAGATAAAATCTTGCTCTGTTGCCCAGGCTGGAGTGTAGTGGCATGATCCTGGCTCACTGCAACCTCTGCCTACCAGATTCAGGTGATTCTCCTGCCTCACCCTCTTGAGTAGCTGGGATTACGGGCAAGCGCCACCACACCCGGCTAATTTTTGTATTATTGGTAGAAACCGGGTTTCACCATGTTGGTCAGGCTGGTCTCAAACTCCTGACCTTGTGATCCTCCCGCCTTGGCCTCCCAGAGTGCTGGGATTACAGGCATGAGCCACGGCACCTGGCCCTTGGTGTTTTTATATTCCAGAAACTAGGTATTTTTCTAGGTCCCCCAGACCCAGGAGGGGACTATAGTGTGTGTGTGTTTTTCCTGTACACAGGTGAGGGGCAGGGGATTGGAGACAATGTTGGGAAGTGTGAGCATTTGGGGTATAATGGGCCATTGATAGTTGCACATGAAAATTCATACAGACTGGAATACACATAAGATGCTGCACTCAAGAGCACGGGGTGCCCTGGCTGGGGGCTGCTGCCCAGGCCCCAGTGCTGCCCTACCTGGGCTTCCACCAGCCAGCGGGAGATGGAGGTTTTCCCATTGTAGCCCGGCCTGAACTGCAAGGTCACAGATCGGGGACCGATGTTGGAGATGCCCAGGTTGGTGGGGGGCCCTGGCAGTTCTGGAAAAGGAGAACAGGGTGGGGAAGAAGATCCGGTGAGAATGGCCCTCCATGTTGAACAGGACTTTTGGGCACGGAGCAGGCTGCGTGTCACGCTTTTCCTGGAAATGTCCGAGGAGAAGCACAGCCACGGCCTCACTCCACCCGCAGTCTGTTCCTGCATCTTACGGAGGACCGCGTTCCTGCCAGGAGGCGTTGATATTTACTCGGCGTGGCTGGCAAAATATTAAAGATATATTGGGAAAAGTCATAGATTAGTCTCAAACCTTTTGGGAGGCAGAAGGGTTTTACTGGGGCAGGCTGAATGCAGTCGGCCAGTCCATTTACGAAGTTAGGGAAGAGGCTTTCCCCAGTTTAAGCCTGTTTACCCCACATCCCTGTGTCTCTACTCTGTTTACTCATGTAAACTTTGTGCTGGATGGTCCTCTCAGGGGGAGATCAAAGGGGAATTACCTGTTAATAGTGTTTATTCTGGGCCCGGAACCTAAAGCTTTTATCATTTGTATGACTAGTCTCTTAACCATGTTAATTATCCACAGTATGCTACCTCAGAACCTCTTAGGAATAAAAGCGGACAGAGGGTCTGGGTCAGTTGGCTGCATTTTGCCCTCTGAAAGCAGCCAGCGGCCATCCCTAGCCTGCTTGTATCACTGTGGTGGTGAGCAACATCTCAGGTGGTGATCCCAATATCCAGTGACCAAGGTCACAAGGAGGCTGAGACAGATTTGGGGGCCCAGGGGGATCTCTCAGGGCTAAGAGGAGGCTCTCGGGACCAGGAAACAGGGGTCGGGATGGCTCCTTCTTCCTGGCAGTTCTGGATGGGAGTGAGGTGCTCATAACGAAGCTGAAAGCTGCATTGAAACCAAGCTGGGCTGAGAGAGAAACCAAACGGGACCAATCCTCCCCTCCATCCGCACAGACCCCTGCACACATCCTATACCTAATTACAGCTCAGGAAGGCGGGAAGGTTGGGTAGGGGCAGGAGGAAGCTTATTTTCTGGCCAGGAATCCTGAGGCTCTTGGAGCTCAGGAAGAACAGAAAGAGCACAGATTCTGGAGTCAGAATGAGTTTAAATCTAACTCCACTACTTATATATAAGCTGTGTGTCTTTGCACAAGTTATCCACCTCTCTGTGCGTCCATGTTCTCCTTGGTAATGAAGATGATAATAACAACACCTCCCTCAGGATTGCTGTGTGGATAAAATGAGTCGATGTGTACAAGGCTCCTAGCTCCATCCCCCGTGAGCATTACATATGTATTTGCCAGCACAGCTGTCTGTAATCATCACTGGGGGTTGGCCAAGGCTCAGGTGGAGGGATGCCAGCAGCTCACACAAGCACTGCCTTACTGATCTGGATGGGACCACATGGCTATCTGGTCCAACTTTCCATATATACAGATGGGGAAACTGAGGCACAGAGGGGACACGTAACTTGCTCAAGGTTGCAGAGCTTGGCAGAAGCAGAGCTGAGAGTGGACCTCAGCTTGCTCTCTGCACCAGGCCTAGGAGTATTCCCACTGTGCTCTGCCACCTCCCAACCAACCCTTCCACATGCTGGAATCCAAGGTGGACTGTGGATGACAGTGGGAATTCTTCCCCTGAATCACAGATACCATTGCCTGGTGTGGAATCTGGTGAGAAATGGGTGACAGGAGAGACTGGTGGGAAATGAAACAAGGCAGGGGGCCTCTGCCTTTCTGAGAGCTGTGGGAGGAAGCAGCAGGGGCCCAGGGGAGCCCCCGTCCAGAGGCCTGGAATCCCAGGAATCTGGCTTGCTCTCAGAGGATCCAGACCCACACAGCACAAGGAAAGGGGAGAGCCCGTGGAAAAAACGCTGGTATTCCTGAAAGACAAGGGGCCTCCTTTTTCTTCTTTTTTAGACAGGATCTGGTTTTGTCACCCAGGCTGGACTGCAGTGGTGTGATCTTGGCTCACTGCAACCTCCACCTCCTGGGTTCAAGTGATCCTCCAGCCTCAGCCTCCCAAGTAGCTGGGATTACAAGCATGCACCACCACACCTGGCTAATTTTTGTATTTTTAGTAGAGACGGGCTTTCGCCATGTTGGCCAGGCTGGTCTGGAACTCCTGACCTCAAGTGATCTGCCTGCCTTGGCCTACCAAGGTGCTGGGATTACAGGCATGAGCCACCGTGCCTGGCTGACAAGGGACCTCTTGAATAGGATGCTGCTCAGGAGAACTCCACGAGTCCTGCCCTGAGAGTGGGCACTTACCTGGGGGCACCCCGGAGGAGATGGTGGAGGCCGACACCTGGCCCTGCCCCTTTGAGGTCATGGCGGCTACCTCGATGGTGTAGGTGGTGAGCGCAGTGAGGCCGGTGACACGGTACTCCAGGGTCACGTTGGGCAGGTAGTGGGTCACACGGGTGTTGGTTCGGTTATACTCCTCCCAGGAGATCCGGTACCCTGGAGAGAGCCCCCGTGCTGGTATGAGCTCGGCTGTGGCCACGAGCTGGCCTGACCCTCTACTCCCCTTCTCACTTCTCCACTAGGTTGGCAATTAGATCCACACTGGGAGAAATGGGGCCACGGGAGGTGGGAGCTGCTGGGGTCCTGCCCTGGGTCTCAGGTGTAGCCTTGGTGGGATGCCACCACTTCAGGGAATTGCAGGGGACACACAGGAAGTCATCACGGCAGTCACTGAGATCTGTGGCTGAAGGTGTGGGGCTGGAGACTCTGGGATGTGTAATGAAGTGGAGGTACCGAGGGCTTCCTGTGAGTGGTTTCTAAGAAACAGTGGGTTGGCTTCAAGGGTTTGGGTGAAAAGTAGCTGGAAGGCAGGGGATGGACCAGCTCTGGCCTTCCCCAGCCCAGTCCTGCCCTCTGATTCAGAAACGCTGTGGTGCCTACCTGTGAGGATGCCGTTTTTCTCTCCTGGCTCTTGCCAGCTGACCTTCAGCGACGTGTCCAGGATATCACTGAAACTCAGGTGTCCCACAGGGCCAGGCACTGCACCCCAAAAGGACCCCCCCACCCCACAAGGCCAGTTAGAGTCAGAGAGAGGCCACCATCTGTGAGACAGCCTGTGGTGATCTGGGGGTGCCCCAGCCTGGGAGACAAGACCAGGCTGCCCTTCTTTCTGGGGTGCCTAGCCTGGCCTTGGGTGGGGCAGAGAGAGCAGAGCTAGGGGGTGCCTACCATCCTCATGGGTGCGCACCAGCTGCGGGGTGCTGCGTGGCCCATCTCCGGGCGTGGTGAAACACAGTACCGAGGTGAAGTACTCGGTGAACTTCTTCAAGCCAGACACGAAGCCCACGTGGATGCTGTCTTGAAAGTTAGGCCGGGCGGTCACCATGGTAACCTCCTCTTCCTGCTCCGGCTCCCAGGCGATCAGCTGCGGAGAGGCCAGCAAGTCAGACAGGGCAGCAGGAAGGCTCCAGAGGCCGAGCTCTGTCCCACCGGCTGCTCCGAGGGAAGGGACAGGCAGTGCAGGGAACCGCGGGACATTAGGGTTCACTTTGGGGCACTTCTCCGCTTCTTGAGCCACTGACTTCATGCAAAGCACCATGCTGGGTGCTTCCCAGGAGCCACCTGTCACTTGATTCCCACAGAGACCCAGGAGGGAGGCATTTCACCAGGAACAGCTGCATAATTTGCAGGCTCAGTGCAAAATGAAAATTTTGCCCTTGTTCAAAAATGACTAAGAATTTTAAGATGACGGAAGCAAAGTATTTAACTAACTGTGGGGTCCTTCTAAACGTGGGCCTTGCGCGACTGCACAGGTGGCATACTCATGAAGCTGGCCCTGTATTCCTTTGAGATGGGGTCTCAATATGCTGTCCAGGCTGGAGTACAGAGGTATGAGCACAGCTCACTGCAGCCTCTACCTTCTTGGCTCAAGCAGTCCTTTCACCTCAGCCTCCCAAAGTGCTGGGATTATAGGTGTAAGCCACTGTGCCCAGCCCAGCCCTGTATTTTATTTTATTATTTATATTTTTTGAGACAGAGTCTCACTTTGTTGCCCAGGCTGGAGTACAGTGGGACTAGGCTGAGTGCAACCTCTGTTCAAGCGATTCTCCGTCTCAGCCTCTGGAGTAGATGGGATTACAGACGTGTATCACCACGCCCGGCTATTTTTTTTGTATTTTTAGTAGAGATGGGGTTTCACCATGCTGGCAAGGCTGGTCTCTAGTGATCTGCCCGCCTCGGCCTCCCAAAGTGGCTGGGAGTACAGGTGTGAGCCACTGTGCCCAGCCCAACCCTGTATTTTACAGATGATGAAACTGAGGCTCAGAGAGGCTGACACAGGTAGGGGGAAGCTGGTTCTGGGATTCCAAGCCCTGAGCTCCTACATCTTGCCCCATGTGAGCTGGGGCAGCTTCCTCATTGGAGTTCGCCAAGGGTTGCTTCCTACAGAGCTGGGAAGTTCAGTTTGTGGGTAATTATTGTCCTCTTACACTCCTTCTAAGTTGGGATTTCCATCTTAAATATCAAGTAGTAGATGGGGGGCATCGGCAAGAAAGTCCTAGCTGAAAATCCCTCAAGTTCTCGCTAATCCCCACTCTGCAGATCGAACCCGGCCCCCGCCCCTCCTGCTTATCTCGCCGCCTGCTCTCACCTCACGCTTCTGTTTCTGGGCCCTTCATCTGTCTCCAATAATGACAGCTGGTTTCAGAGATTTCCTCATTTATTTGAAGTTGATTAAATAGCAGTTAATGGGGAAAAGCAACACTTGATGAGTTTTAATAAGCACGGGTATTTATAGATATAAAACAATGCCACGCCAATGTCTCCCGATTAACTCACGCCTATAACAATGCTTAATCTTCTCCTCTTCATGGCTGTGTATTTATAAAGGATGTTTTGAAATTTAATTGGTATTGTGCAAAGATAGCCTATAGCAAGTTAATTAGACACTAATTAGACCCTCAAAATACTAAACAGAAATACTAAGTGGCATTTAATAAGTATGTTAAATATCCTCCGTATTTCGATTATCTTGTTTCATAGCAATTATGTTGCCGAACTTCTTTGGAGTAGATTAAGAAACAAGTTTAATGTTTTAATTTAATTTAATTAATGTAAATTCAAATTAATTATGCTGTTAGAATTAATTGTGTGGCGTGTTACCCAGCAAGTATAAGATCTGGGTAAATATTTTATTGGGCTTAGGCCAATTATAATCCCTACCATTTAAAAAAAAAATCAAGGAAAAAGGGTGCCTTTACAGGTGCCTTAAAACAGTATCACCGGGCCTTACCCACAAAAGTGACCCAGAGGACGTGCACAAGGGCACAGGATGATGGGAGTGTGGTTTGTGGAGTCATGCTGTTGACTTCAGCATCCTACAGCTTGACGCCTGAATCCAAGATGGCAGCAGGGCCACGGCTTCCTGTGGCTGTTTCAAAATATTTACCCTGGGACGTGAGCCACTTGTATTTCTCCCGCTGCATGTGAAGAGGAGGCGGCTTAGGGATAAGAGGCCTCCCTGCTTCAGGTCCCGGGAGGGAGAGTAAAATTGCTTTTGCATTCTTCATTACCCTAAAGGACGGTTGTGGGATGCAACTTTAGTGCTCAGCTCAACACACAACAGGGCTTCCACCGGCTGCACTCTTCCCATGTGCCTGGCCTAATTTAAATCATCCCAATGAGGAATAGATGGAAATCACTGTCCTATGCTCTTACCGAAAAGGACACCGAGGTTCAGGAAGGTGAAGGAGCTTGCATGTGGACCTACTGGGAGCTGACTCCATCTGTGGCCCCTGAGTCCTTTCATGATGACCTCTGCTTCTCAAAGGTATACACAGCTGCTGAGGTGAGTGTTTCTCTATGATGTCTCTGGGCCTTCTCCTTGTGAGTCAGTTTCAGTGTTGATTGACCCTACTAGGTCCTGAGTCTCAGATTCTAAGCAGACGGGGCTCCCTTGAGCAGGCTTTGGTGTGTTCTGGGGAATGAGCATTGGACCTGGGTTCCTGGGACATACAGTTCCCACTTAGAGAGCAGAGGCCCAGGGAGTCAAGCCCTGTAACTAAACAGCAGTGCTGCTAACAGAGGGTGTTGGGGGAGGGCAGTCTTACAGCTGGCACACTTGAACCTGAACCCAGCTCTGTCACTTGCTGTGTGACTCAGGGGAAGTCACTGAGCAGTCTGAGCTTCAGGCTATTCTAGCGGATAGAAACACCTGTCTTGCTGGGTTGCAGGGAGGAGCAGGCAAAATGTCTCCTGTCCCTGGTGGAGGCAGTACTCTATAGGGTCGAGAGTGTAGGACGATGTATATGGCATCTAGCTACTAAAGTTAAAAAATAAAAGTCAGGCTGGGCGCAGTGGCTCATGCCTATAATCCCAGCACTTTGGGAGGCCAAGACAGGCGGATCACCTGAGGTCAGGAGTTCGAGACCAGCCTGGTCAACATGGTGAAACACCATCTCTACTAATAATACAAAAATCAGCCAGGTATGGTGGCACGCGCCTGTAATCCCAGCTACTTGGGAGGCTGAGGCAGGAGAATTGCTTGAACCCAGGAGGTGGAGGCTGCAGTGAGGCAAGATGGCATCACTGCATTCTAGCCTGGGCGACAGGGTGAGACTCTGTCTCAAAAAATAAAGTCGGAGAAATCCTCTCTGTCTCTCTCCCTCTACCTGTTTCCACATACACAGATTCCCAGAAAACAACTTGAAAGGAGATGTGGGAAATCAACAACAGTGGTCGCTTACAGTGAGGAGAGTTTTTGGGTTGGGCAGAGTAGATCTACATAGGCGGGAGACTGCGGTGGGATGGAGGCCTTCTGCTACATGTTTACCATTTTTGACTTTTTTTTTTTGAATCATATATTTTCTGTTTAAAAATTAAAAGATTGAAAAATAAGTTGAATGAGGGGTATTTGGCAATAGTAAAATTATTCACACATTTTCCCTTTGACTCAACAATCTAATTTCCGGGAATCTAGTCCAAAGTTATATTGTGAAAATAAAAAAAGGGGCCGTGTGTGGTGGCTCATGCCTGTAATCCCAGCACGTTGGGAGGCTGAGGCGGATGGATCACCTGAGGTCAGGAGTTTGAGACCAGCCTGGCCAACATGGTGAAACCGTCTCTACCAAAAATATAAAAGGTTAGCCAGGCGTGGTGGTGGGTGCCTGTCATCTAAGCTATTGGGAGGCTGAGGCAGGAGAATCACTTGAACCTGGGAGGTGTAAGTTGCAGTGAGCCAAGATCATGCCATTGTGCTCCAGCCTGGGTGACAAGAGCAAAACTCCATCTCAAAAAAAAAAAAAAAAAAAAAAAAGATATAATCACAAAGCCATTCACCACAGAAAGGGTAGTTACAGTAAAAGACTAGAAACAACCAAAATGTTATTACTCGGGGGCTGCTGGATTAAATTATTGGCAATCCATATGATAGCAGAGGAGACAGGTGTCGAACGGAACAAGGGATGTCTCTCTCTACTTCTATGGGGTGACCTCCAAAATTATTCTAAATAATAATATAGGGGCTGGGCTTGGTGACGCACGCCTGCAATCCCAGCACTTTGGGAAGCCAAGGCAGGCAGATAATGAGGTCAGGAGTTCAAGACCAGCTTGGTTAACATGGTGAGACCCTGTCTCTACTAAAAACACAAAAATTAGCTGGGCATGGTGGCAGGCGCCTTTAATCCCAGCTACTCCGGAGGCTAAGGCAAGAGAATCACTTGAAATGGGAAGGCAGAGGTTGCAGTGAGCTGAGATCGTGCCACTGCACTCCAGCCTGGGTAAAAGAGCGAAACTCTGTCTCAAAAAACAAAACAAAACAAAAACCCCCCACAAATATATATGTATGTATCAAGATGGAGAATTTGGAAAGTACAATGTCACTTAGTCTGAAAAGGAGAGCACACATGCTTATGTAATATATGCATGTACAGCAAATCTTTGGTATTCATGTAGAATTGGCTCCAGGACCCCTGCAGATACCAAAACCCACAGCTGCTCAAGTCCCTGATATAAAATGATGTAGTGTTTGCATGTAACCTATACAACTCCTCCCAGACACTTTAAGTCACCTTTAGATTATTATAATACCTGACACAATGCAATTGCTGTATTGTATTGTTGGGGAGAATAATGACAAAAAAGTCTGTACGTGTTTACTGCAGATGCAATTTTTTTCTTAATATTTTTAGAGCCAATATGAGATTGGCTGAATCCACAAACGTGGATTCTATGGCTAGGAAGGGCCTACTACACTTTTTTGTTTGTTTTTTAGAAGGAGTTTCACTCTGTTGCCCAGGCTGGAGTGCAGGGGCAGGATCTCGGCTCACTGCAACCTCCATTTTCCTGGTTCAAATGATTCTCCTACCTCAGCCTCCTGAGTAGCTGGGACTACAGGCACCTGCCAGCATGCCCAGCAGATTTTTTTTT